ATACAATGAGAACAGAACGAAATCAGTCTGACCAGCGTATCTAAATCTGCCCTTTCATCTCACATCCAACTGTTCACCTGTCATTTCATTTATCGCATGCACTGATATCAACGTTGTTTTAGATGGTGTGTATATCATTTGGTGCAAAACCATATCTGTCTCAAGTAGATTAAATAACCAGCAGTGAATTCAGTTGGCTGAGGTCTCTTCTGCATACTTCAGATTCCAGCCTCAAGCACTAGCTTCAGAAAGAGTGGAGGACAGCATACACAGCAGCACAGAATGACACAAATATCAGCAGGGACTTATCCATTCTCTTAGGAATGGTTTTAGCCAATGCACAGAGGATTTAAAGTGTCAGACAAGGTTAATCAATACCAATTCATCCACCTTCTCTACATCGAACTTAATAGGTTTCTAAGTTTTGACATTTAATAGATTCTCAAGAGTGCACCAACAGTACTGTGCCAAAATCAATACAAACTTTCATGGCCACCCATAGCAAGATGACCTAAACTGCATTTTTTCAGACCACTCACTTTGATGTGAAGTCTGCGCTAGATCCGCCTGAAGCTAGTTCAATTAAAAGAAAGGAAGACTTACTCATCCTAATGAGAGCTGCAGAGAAACAAACAAGAGCCAGTCCTAGTTGGAGCCATCACTCCTGCTTCTGTTTGCTCCAAAACATCAGTGTCTGCCAAATCAAACTCATACATGACTGTGCAGCCACAGGGCGCCAGGATGTAGCTAAGGTCACAGATTTAGTCCTTATTATTACTACCACTACTGCTACATGTGTTAGACATTCGGTGCCAACATTCAAAAACATCTTTTTTTTCCCCTCTAAGTGATGAAATAAAACATTCACATTTATCATAATCCCGATGAAAACTCTGCAACAGGCCAGTCACCTGTCCATGATGTACCCCACCTCTCACTCTATGACAGCTGGGATACGTTCCAGGATTCCTTTCTTTAAGTAAAACCTATTCTGAACCACCTGTGGCTTCACATAAGAACCACAATCAAACAGATTTCTTAGAGAAATGCCACAAATGACCTCGTTGGAAAATAAGCTCAGACAAATGTCATAGATATTTGTAGAAAAACCTAAATATACTATTCTTTGTTCATATAGTGTAGCATTGAAGTGTCAGCTGTCAGTTAGTAACAACCTTCTATCTAGTGCCATTGTTTTTAAATGCTTTCAGAAGTGCAAAAATTAGGCATAATAGTATTTAGTCTCGAACAGCTGTCAAGATAAAAAGATATTTTTTTATATTTTCCAAAGATCATTTGTGATGCATTTGTGTTTGATGTCACAGCACCATCATCAAATCAATTATAGTCTTTTTAGAGTGACTCTATTCAGATTTGTAACAGCATAGAATGTACAAAAAGGAAAAGCTGCTGTCATTAGATCCTTTCTGTATGGCCTGAAAATATTTTTTTTGAGCAACAGTATTTTAAGGCAACAAGTTTCAAAGCAACTAAATAAGCAAAAAGTTCAGCACTAGATTAATTTGGAAGTCTTGTTAAGGTACAGTCAGACAGAAGAAGGTTGGAAGAACCTTACTTTGTTAACACCACTGCAAGGTTATGCTTTTGTTTTCATTTATTTAACATTTAAACCAGATTCTTCCTCTGAGGAATACGATGTCTGGACTAAATTTCACAGCAAGTCACAGTTGTCAATACACTGCAAAGAAACCCTCTGAGGACAAAAGCAATGCATGATATTGTTTTCATTTTTTATAGTCTGAATCTGAATTGATTAAAGTGTAAGACTGCATCGCATCATTTTGGCTTTTTAAAACCCAAATCGACACAAAAATGTGTAGCTGGCTGCACTCAAGTGTGCGTACACTATTCAGCACTTGTCATTAACCAAATCTCCAAAAAGAATATGTCTGAAACGGCCTCTTTTACGATTACATCAGAACAGCACTTCATCAGCAGCACGACTGGCTGAAAACCCCAAACACGTGACCAGTAATGCCACTTGTTTGTGTCAAAACGGAGCAAACAGTGAATCAACACAGAGCACACAGACACATTAAAATGTAATGAACAGACCACTCTGTGAGCAGCCACAGAGAAGATTTAAAAGACTTTGAAAGTAAAGGTTAAGCCATGTCTCCATCTTTGCCAGAACGACTGACAGTCTGTCAGTCAAACGTTCCATCTACAAAACCAGCATCATAAGAAAAGGACTGCCACGTAAGTGGTGCTCTCAGGGCTTGTGGGACTGTGCCATTATTATTTTTCCCACAACAAAACTTTGTGTGACTCACATTCTCCTCTGGCAAAGATTTTTATTATGGAAGTGAAATAATAATAATGGAATAATGGAATAAGTATTCCAGCAGAAGGCCCAATTCCAAAGCTGAACCTAAGTCCTACCCTGCCTCAGTCCAGCACAGAGGAAACATAAAACCTCACTGGATCTGCTCCACATACATTACTGTTTATTTGGGATTTTTTCACTTCAATGGTGGAGATGCATAAGGAAAAATGAAATATAGTTAATGTGAAAATCTGTGCTGTTCATAGAATCTGTGAAGAAGATGTAAAAATGTGCAGCAGCGTGTCTATGAAACACCCTGAATGATTTCTTGGGGATCAACATTCTCACTTATCATTTATAAAAAGCTTTACTATTTATGCCGTGTCAGAATCATTAGGGAACAAGTAAATAGAATGCAGTTGTGACCAATTCATTAAACAAGCAAACATGTTTGGTTGAGGCGAGATAAGACATAATATATTGAGTGACATGGGGAACAAATAGCAAATAATTAATCCCTAAGCAAACACAGAAGACATGAGTTTCCACTGGGGTTCAGCTGGCTCAGAAGAAGAGGCAGGAGCTGCACTGAATACTAAAAGTACACAGGAGGCAACACAAAGACACAAGGCTACTTAAAGGTATATGAAAACCAGGAAAGGATCAGCTGGCCAAACAAAAGGACAACCAATCTACTAGCTGTAGACAATTTAAATTAGCTTGAGATGTATACAATGAGTGGACGGGTGGAGTTAGATCAACAAATGACCTGCACGTAAAATACAACACAGCAAACTCTCACTCTGCTGTTGCAATAGCAGTGGGTTTGATTTAGCTGACTGGTGACCCCTACTGGCTTCTTGTAGTAATGACAAGACTGGCTGGGTAAAAAAAAAAGCTCTCACTACAGTTGACTGCAGCACAGTTCCTCTTGACAATGTGTTTAAGGATTCATAAGATAGATATTTTAACCTCACAACCCCACCAGTCACCAAAGTAAGAGTCAGAGATCAGCTGTATTTACTGCACTGTGGTGCTGAACATCATCATCTTTCACAAACGTAAAGCACAACTTCAAAATTAAACATTTAAAAGATCAGTGAATAAATGTTTGGTAAAACTAAAATAAACTACTTTCCGCACTATAAGCCGCACTTAAAATCCTTTCATTTTCTCAAAAATCATCAGTGCGCCTTATGTTAAATTCTGGTTGTGCTTACTGACCTTGAACCGATTTTATGTGGTACATGGCGCACAAGAATCTGTCAAAAATGTTTTAGTATGACTTTGCTAACCTACAAAGCCGCACTGCTTGATGGGTTGTCGGAGCATTATGACTACTGTAGTCAGGAGCCTCACGGAGTAATCTGGGTCCAAAACTCCACCCGCTTCAGGTCCCAAAAACAAACGAACACTGCAGCATCACTGAGAGTTAAAAACTGTCTACATTCTTTCATCTTTAATAAAATGATCAGCATTGCTGCTTTACCAGGTGTAAAAATTAAGTTTAACATCCAGGCATCCATGAAAACAGAATTTATTACTTTTAACTGAGTTAGAAGTTAGCAGGAAGTTAGCTCGCTAGTTTCCACCTAACCATGATATAGCATGTTCTGTCTGAGAGATTCCTGAAAGAATCCAAACGTACAGCTCTGCTATCACTTCCAACATAAATGAAGACAGAAAACTAAACAGCAGTGACGTTTGTAGGGTTACTGACGTTGGACTAGCTGGTATATAATGATGTGCTACGTGATCACTAGCGACACAGCTAGTGTTTATGCTATGTTAGCATAACATAAACACAGTGAAGCTGGAGGATGAACGCTAACTTTTTTCCACTCGATAAAAGTTAACGCGAAGGTTCCTGATGGTTAGAGACAAATGCAACTTATAATCCGATGCACTTTATGGTCCAAAAAATACAGTAAAATAAAATAATCAAATGAAATATCAGACATACCTGTACTACAGGGGCACAGGCTTTTCACTGAGTTACTCAGGCATTCCCATTTGATTTTTTTGTTTTTAACTAGTTAAAAATATCCTTTTCATACAGAAAGTGTAACAAACAATTCAAATATTTAACCAGGGTGCAGGTGGGATTAAAAAACACTTGGTTGACAGTTCCTCGTTTGGATATTTTAAAGCATGGGGGGGACTTTTAAAAACATCAAAACAGATTGCAAAGACAACTGCTGGCAAAGCAAGTTGTGACTCAGCTTGGGACTCAACAGCCACTAAGGTTAATAAAGGCAAAGACATGAGGGAGCCATGTGGAGGAATCTCCAGGAGAGACTGTAGTAGAAGAAAACTTTTTAAAGATCTTATATTTATATTATATTAGCAAAATGGGGCATTTAAGGAACCAGGAAACCATAGCAAACACCAACAATCTCCATGCATCAATGGCAAAAAAGTTCTACCTGACATCATGTGGAGAAGTCCTGCTTCATTCAGTCTTTACAAATATCATCAGCCAATTTCTTCTCAGTGAGAGCGAGTATTTTTCAATAAGCTGTGCAAAGGTTCATCCACAACATCGCTGATATTTGTGGTGCTGTAATTTTAAACTCATAATCCCAATCAAAGTTTTTAAAAGCCATGCTACTGATGCACACATGCCGCATCAGCTTTAACCCTTTCTCATACCAGGTGTTTGTAAAGCATTAAGAAATTCAAGAGAAGGAATCAAAAAGCTTCAAGACTGTACCTGAATTGTACCAAAGTCCACATTTTCATAGTGGAAATGAGCACACTCTGCCAGTTTTGGGAAATGGCCCTTGGTGAAGCAAAGTCTGCAAATGCAACACACACAGTTTGGTTAGCACTTCATTCTCTTCATATGGTAACAGCTTGGAGTGTGTATGATTAGCAGAAAAAGCCGAGGGCAATGCAAACAGAGGGAGCGAAAGCACGAGGCAGGCACAGAAACAGACTCGATAAACAGCCAGTTTGGAGCGATATCAGAAATGGACAGAGGAGAAATGTGAGAGCTGTGAGTTTGTGTGTCCACGTGCCCACTCACTTCTTGACATTCTTGACCTTCATGCTGGCTGTGCTGCTGCTGCATGAGCGCATGAGGGGCTCAGTCCTCAGCTCAGGGATCTCAGCACTCCTTGCCTAAAAAAACCAAAACAAAGCAGACAAACATGAGAGCTCACACTTCCAGTCCGATCCAAAGCATCGATTTAATGAGGGGAGCCAGCTAATTCACACAACTGCACATCATTCAGTTAATTAGGTTTATGTGTAGCACCAGTTTGCTTAGATCAGATCAGGTAATGACTTTCCAAAAATCCTAACAGCCTTGTGTAACCAGTGCTGTACAGCAATATGCTGTTTGACTCCATCTAATGTGTTTGGATGAGCTGAGCCCTGCTGATCTTGCTGACTGACACGTGTGCAGCTTGTTAGTTGACTGGACAACAGTATGATTCCTTTGAGAATTATTATTTTCTCCCAGCTTATCCTGGTCTCTGAATTGCTTCATATGTGCACTTTCCGTTTGCTGTTTTAAACTTCTTTTTTTTTTCTCGGACTCTGGCAGAGTAATTCTGCATGATTCACAGGACACATTAATCCTTATTTATCTCAATTCACCCTCTAAAACAAGCCCCTCTTCCTTTAAGCCAGCTTTCTTCTGATTCGCTGCAGAAGGTTTGAACAGCAGGTGGGAGGGCTTTTCTATTCTCACAGTCAGAATAGTTTTATTAGGGATATCCCCTCACTCACATCATACAGAGCCAACAGCAGAAAACACAATTGTTAAAGATGTCTGAAGAATACCTGTACACATGCCAACTAGGGCCTGATAGGTGAAAATGGGCACATCTACGAGGATGATTGTTGTAGTTCTGTTCAATGTTTACCACGCCAGTCGTGAGCAGCAGCGCCACAGCTGGTAGCGGAAACGCTAACTTAGCATGGAGGAAGTTAACAGTCAAGCAACAGCAGCGTGAAGATACTTCACGCCGCCATCACCAACAGCTTTTCTTTATATGCTTTGCAATAATATTTGACTAAACTGCAGACTGTGGTCAGTTGACAGCTGAGCAGCTTCATCAACAACAAGGCTTTTTTGTTTTCTTCTCTCTCATATGTTGCTCATTCTTGTTATGTTTGATTCTGAAGCTTTTATTGCACTTCCTATAACATAACCTGCTGCCACCTTGATAAATATTTCACTTCTCTTGTCAGCTTTACAATGTGTGTAAGGATGACTGTAAATAACAGCAGTATGACGCAAATCCTCCTCTCACACCGAGCTGAAATAACATGACTGCAAATAAAGGAGATCAATCAAAATTGGATCTTCACTCTATTGTTATTATTATTATTGTTGTTATTATTATTTTACTAATAATTACTAGATTCATTTTATTACATTACATAGATTACATTTTATTTTCGAAAGCAACACTTAAATGCAGCCTGGCAGACATCTGTAGCATATTAGTGCTGGTAAAAGCTACATTTGTGTATCCCTAATTTAAATGTATAGTAATGTCATGAATGCCTCACATACATGTGGTTGATGGACAAGCCGAGGGAGTGTTTCAAGGTCTTTGCACACTTACACATGTTATGAAACAGCGTTCAGTCCATAGTGTGTACTGTGCAGACTTAAAATATCTTATACATAAGATGGAAGAACCTGAGCATTATGAACAATAACAACAACAGTTTGACTTGGAAACTATGTTGAACATCTAAAAGCATCAAGCACAGTTGGTTGAGAAGCATTTCTGCAGTCTCTGACTAAAAGACCACTCCCCACACAGATTCACCGACAGCCACTCACTCTGGTTGTTATCGTGTTCAAAAATAAAGCCATTCGCATCATTTAGCTTAAATTAGACTGAAAATCAAAAGCAGATGTGGTAAGAGTCTGGGGAATCTACTTTAGTGCAAGCAGATTTTAATCAGTGGATTTACTCGCTGTGAAGCTGTGTAAGAAAACAGGAGCATGACTTAGGCAAGGTTACAGAACTGTGAAAGCTTCATTCATTCAGCTTGTAACCTCACCACAGCCGCTGACAGGTACGGTGCTTTGCATATGCGGTCAGACCACTGAGACTTTCTGCACCACCTCTATTCCAGGTGCTAAAAGGGCCCAGGTAGAGGTGAAAGATGGAGCACTTGTAGCTGTTTCTGTACAGCAGGATTAAATTTGCTCTCTCAAGTTATGCTGCCAGTGAGAAGATGGTTATATTGGTTACTACAGTTTTTGTTTAACCATCAGTGAGTTGGCTGCAATGATTAGTCCTATTTGGTAATAAAGCTTACTACACACTTACATCTACCCTCTTGCATCCTACTATGAATTGAACAGCGATAAAATACTTAGTACCTTTGTTTTTCAGTCATCTGCCACACAAAGCGTGGTGATAATCTCATAATTTCACAGTGCTAATGCAAAACACAGTATTGTGCCTGTCACAGTTCTCATTTTCACAGCTCTGACGACATGTATAAACTCACTGTGTTCTCATTGGGCGATATCATGCCTTGCGTTTTACATACACAACAAGAAGCCCGGACACATCAAACAGCCAGAGCTGCGTTTCTGCATCACATGCAGATTTAATGGGGGGGGGGGATTGTGAGCTACTAACATAGTTTTTTGATTTCCTTTTAAAGCTACATCACCCACCTCTGTGTTCTATATCCATTAGGTCCAAGTCCAACATCACTCGCTACAATTGCAGTTGTAACTTTTTTACCACTACAGACAAACACTCTGTGTATCTGGACATAAACAAGTGCTTGTTGGTAAGACAAAATAAAATCGAAATAAAATAAAATAAAAAACGAACCGAATTATCTTGTATCGTTGCTAAAATAGGAATGTTGCATGTCATGTAGACTGCAGGTATTTAAGTTGCTGATGATGATCACGTTGCACGGGTGCGTGCGTGTTTTGTTCTACTAGAATATGATCTAGCCTACACAGTGCACCAGGGCGTTGGTGTGACAGCTTACACCAAGTTGTTCACACTTCTTTTCATCATGTCTTCCAACCACTGGAGACATAAATGCATGGTGCCCCAGTGGACACAGCCGTATCGCAAACTGAGCAAACAATCGCACACATGCAGTATTAAAAGCCCCGCCTCTCTAAATAATATTCAATAGGTTGCTCAGATTTCTCTTGCTGTTTCTCTTCCTCTCTGTTGCCCGATCGAAATGAGCAGTCGTGATACCGCTCCAACCACGCGCCAACCACGGGTGGCTCGACATGTTACCATGGAGACGGCCTCATTTTCACGGTGCTGCCGATGCAGGAAGCAAGACCCGAACTAAATAAGAGGAAAGGAAATAATGAATGAATGGCGTCTGGTGAATGGGACGAGCACGGAGAGATGAAATAATCAGACCGATCTGTACATGACCGATCTGTGCGAAGAGCTTGGAGTGTGGTAGGTTTAGAACACCAACAGTCTGCATTAAGGTTCAGCAGGCTTTTGGGAGCAAAAGAGAGACAGTTTTCAATACGAGAGACAGACATGTCATCGGCCCAGTGGCTTAAAAACAGACTGATAAGGAAGTGACAGGCAACAAACAAGCCGACGGGGTGGGGAGGTGTTCTCACTGGATCATGGATCAGACGTGTCAGGAATGACTGACAGGAGACTTTACTGAAGTGCGGTGATCACAGGACAAAAGAATAAGTTCAACTTAAAGGTTTTACATAGATCACATTTGACAAACACAGCAAAATGAGCTGGCGACACAAATGCATGGCAAAAGTGAAAGGTGCACAATTTCCCCTGCAGGCTGGACTCATCTGGACCTCAGATACCTGGATTTTGGTTCCCTTTTTCTTCAAAGCTTTTTTAATGTTTGCAAATACTAATGATGTATTTTGCTGATGGAGCTGAACTGATGGTAGAAACTGACAGTCCTGCATTAAATGTATACAAATATATTGAATTGTTCGTTTTTTTAATAAATTACACTCATGTCCAGCTTATTGAATATTGACATACTGTCAATAACTGCATGGGGTTGATGTATAGGGTTATTTTAAATGGTAAGGACATAAAATGCAGATATCCAGATAGCATATGCCATTATAAACAAGCGTAAGTAAACTATAGGGGCAAAAGTATTGGACCACACCTCTTAATCTTTAAGTTCAGTCACATTGGAACATTGTAGCCATGCAGTCTACCTTCATAAACACTTGAGAGAGAATGAGTGGTTCTAAAGGAGCTCGCTGAATTTCACTGTCGTACTATAACAGGATGCCACTGTTGCAACAAGCCAGTTTATGACATTTCTTCCCTCCCGAATATTCTACCATCAACAATCAACAATCAGCAGAACGTTACAGTGATAAGCCTGCTTGATATAAGACTCTTAATCCATTTTTCATTTACTGGTTAAAGGTATATTCTGGAACAGTCTGAATACAGGAAATTGTGTCTTAGTGCATTTAAAAAACAAAAGGAAACAAAAAAAACACACACACACACACACACACACACACACACACACACACACACACACACACACACACACACACAAACTTAAAGTCCCATCAGAATGAAAGAATGAGGAACACGTACATACTCCTTGGGAAAAAAGATTGCATCAGATTACTTTCACAGGCCACATTTCTTTCTAGATGTAGTACTCACTGACAAGCAAGCACTATTAACCTGGTTTATAATGGTTCTTAAACACCCTGTTACCATCACCCAGTGAGGGGGAGTCACCCAGCCACAGGGTGATATTTCAAGCAGCTCACTCTGAGCATAAGTGGGTAGGTTTAAAAAAAAGAAAGAAAGAAAGAAAAAAGAAGAAAAAGAAAAGATGGATGATGCTTCTAATTAAAAATCCATGTTAAAAAAAGTCAAGTGTTTCTCACCATGGCACTGATGGTTTCCTCCCAGTCTGGTCTCTCTCTGGGATGGATGTGAGCCAGTTCAGGCACAAGGTCGTCGTCCTCCAGATGACGTCCAGGTCTCAGACCCCTGCAGCCAGACACACACAAACAGAAGCTTAGAACTCAAATTGCACACACTGGACTATCACAGTATCACTCTTAGTGTATGTATATGTGAAAGTGCTATGCCAAACGCCCGGTATAACGATCTCAACGTCATGAAATATGAATTTATCCAGTACGAGTGAATAAATAGAATCTCAAATGTTGCTTTTCAATGCATTTAAATCTAATATATAGCTTTATTCCTTTATATTTTGCTTTGCTTATATTTTCCTTTATATAATCCCAAACGTATATAAAATAATACGTTTGGGATTATTGTCATACTGAAAAACAAAGACACTGCCAATCAGATGCTTTCCAGATGGTATTACATGGTGGATCAAAATCCACTTTCTACCTTCATAATTCCATCAAATTTTGACAAGATTCCCATCACCACTGGTACGACACAGGCTGGGTTTTACTGATGGTTATAGACTCCTGTACTAGTATGCTGACCACCTCTATGCATACTAAAGACAAGTTGAACCAGAGATACTATATTTGCATTAAAATATAAAGAATTTTTTTTTTTCAAAAAACGGGGTGGGCTCAAATCTTTTGCACAGT